CAACAACACCAATTTATTCCAATTATTTTATACCAAACAAATACACGACAAGTCAAAAAGGCTTTTGGCTGCAGTACTCGCCGAAATATTTTTAAATTAAGGGTTTTTCTCAAGTAGATTTTTTTTTGCTTATGTAAGGAATGTACCCTCCATAACTTTAAACGCGTTTTTTTGCAACGCTGTTTTCAAAATCGGTAAGAAATATTCTATTTTAGCCGGATCTTCTAAAGATATTTGTCAGGTAATCGTCGAATACTTGTAAATAAGATTTTTGATAGTAATATCGATTTTTCAAGCCGCCCTGAAGTATACGAGTAAATTTTGTCACAAAAAACCACTATTTTTTTTGGAAAACCAGTATTTTTTCATCATATTAATTCAATAAATAAAGTTGCCTGTATTTATCTATTGTTATAATAGTTTTTTTTGTTTTTGGACTTCGGCAAATTCTTAGCACAAAAATCTTTCTCACCGCAGGACTCCTTTTTTCGGATATTTTCCAATTTTTCAAATTGTATCGCCTATTATTAAAGTAAATTAAATTATCTAAATGTTTACTAAATAACATACCCCTTCACAAAAAAAAAAAAAAAATTACATAAAAAACACGATTTTTCTGACTTTCAATTGAATAGTAACCCCTTGAAAACTTTCTAGCGACTTATCCAACTGCCCTCGTATTGCCAACTATTTTAAGGCATCACCTTTTCCTTTCCACTGCACACTAGCCGAAATTATTCACATGCCTCACTTACTTACATACATATTCACATTATTTTAATATCTCAAGTTCTAATATTGATTACTTTACCTTTGAGTAATAAAAATAAGCAATTTAGTAACAGTGTAATATATATGCCCATAAAACAAAAATATACCATATGTGAACGATCAATAATAGTTTCACTTTTGTATATATATATTGTATATATATACATATTAGGGTGTTCGTTCTCACGTTGATTCTTTTCTTGTATTCCCTGAAGTTTCACTTTTTTCCCTAAAAAAGGGTCCAACGTAAACCAGCTCTTTATTTTCAAGTTAATAAAATTTATTTTCCCATGTATATACCAATATTACATTTATTTGCCTCGATATGTTGGTCTATTATTACCATTTCTGGAGGCTAGTTGTTTACATTTTGTCAGGGAGGAATTAGTTTGTGTATATTTTGAAAAAGTGCCTTTTGTCCGTCCTAAAATGAATTAAAACTGTATGGTTCACTTTTTAATCGTTTGGAGATTTTCACTCACATTTTTTTTTTCAACTTTGGAAATAAATGATAGCGGCTGTAAGGAAAGCAGGAGAGACTGGAGTGTGAGTGAAGATAATACCGAAACCTAGTTTAAGCAGAGCTGCTAACAAAACAAAACACTTTAGTCCACATTTATCATGATTAGCTTTTGAAATGATTTCTTCATGGCTTAAAATGATTTCGTGTTTTTTTTTTTTTGAATAGTTTCCAAATTACAAATTTTGAGGGTAACCAATTTTTGTTTGGGTAAGAATATCTATAAAAGCATTTAATTTAGCTATTAAAACTTAAACCGATTTGTTTTGTTGTGGTCGAACCAGAATTTGC